TCTTAGGAAAGACTTGGCGGGTCTGAGGAAAGATTTGTCAGGTGTTAAGAAAGATTTGTCGGGTCTTCTGAAAGATTTTTTGGGTCTTAGGAAAGACTTGGCGGGTCTGAGGAAAGATTTGTCAGGTGTTAAGAAAGATTTGTTGGGTCTTCGGAAAGATTTTTTGGGTCTTAGGAAAGACTTGGTGGGTCTTAGGAAAAATTTGTCAGGGCTTAAGAAAGATTTGTCAGTTCTTAGGAAATATTTGGCGGGTCATAGGAAAGATTTGTTGGGTCGTAGGAAAAATTTGTTGCATCTCAAGAAAGATTTGTCAAGTCTTAAGAAAGATTTTTTGGGTCTTAGGAAAGACTTGGTGGGTCTGAGGAAAGATATGTCAGGTCTTAGGAAAGATTTGTCGGGGCTTAAGAAAGATTTGGCGGGTGTGAGGAAAGATATGTCGGGTCTTGGGAAAGATTTGTCAAGTCTTGAGAAAGATTTTTCGGGTCTGAGGAAAGACTTGATGGGTCTGAGGAAAGATTTGTCAGGTCTTAGGAAAGATTTGTCAAGTCCTGAGAAAGATTTTTTGGGTCTTAGGAAAGATTTGTCGGGGTTTAAGAAAGATTTGGCGGGTCTGAGGAAAGATTTGTCAGCTCTCAGAAAACGATGGGGTTCTTTTTTTAATTAAATGTAATTTTTACCATCCAAACAGATATTTGATTTTAAAAAAAATCCACATTCTCACAAACATCAAAGATCTCTCTGTTATGCATGATTCTAGTGGGTCAAAGCAGACTGCCCCCACTCGGACAGCAATGGTGGTCGATGGTTTTTTTTAACTTAAATGTCGGCTTAGTTGGCCTAGATTCCTTAGAATTGAAAGAATAACAGGTTCTTTTCCACGTCGCAACTGTGCATTTCGTTTAGCTGGTTCCTAAAATAAAATCCCAAATAATTTCATTGAATCGTGTGGCTGTGACATGACAAAATGTAATACTCTCCAATAAGTGTGAACCCTGTAACAATAGAGACTTCCTAATTGACAAAAACACTTTCAGTTTTTACCCTGAAACACACCTTGAGAGAGAATCTCCCAACACACTGACCTGCTTTGAATCATCCTCCCCCCTTTTCTCTGCTCACACCCTTTTGCCTCACTGAATCACTCACTCCACCTCACCTCACGTCGCCCAGGATACTAACAGCCTGCTGACTGTGTGTGTGAGAGATCATGTATGAGTCCTGCTGTGGAGACAAGTCAGAAAAAACGGAACAAGGGTGCTATTAATTAGGTGTGTGTGAGTGTGAGACAGAGAGCTACTGAGCTAACTCCGGCTGCTGCTAACACCAGCTGCTCTCTGAAGCTGCAATGATCTCAGTAATGCTTTCAAGGGCTTCTTTTCCTGTCCAAAGCCTGAAACATGCCATGAATATGTCACTTTAACACCCAGGGGTATCATTTGAACACACCTGTAACCCGTTTAAATCAGGTTTTACCCCGACATGCTTATTTGAGCTGACATTATAAATTCCTTGTTTACTGTTTATGCTGTTCAAATGTGTACTTAAAGCTAACATGCGATAAGCATTAAAAACATTTATTTAATGAAAAAACTAAGAAATATTCTTTAGAAAAAGTACTTTTAAACAGATATTTTATTCTTCTGTGTAATAAAGCAGTTCTGATAGTAATTAAGGTTGAACTGTGTCCATCTTTCCCCTATAACATTATATTATTCCACACCGGTAGAGGGGAAAAATATTTGAGAAAAAGTATAACTGTAAAACAGATAAAATAATCATTTTAAATGACGACAGAAGTTATCATAGAGGTTTAGCATTAGTAGCACAGTCTGCATTAGCAGTAGTTTTTATGCTTGTATTCTATTCCATAACTGAGATTCTGAGACCCTAACCAACAATGTTTCTGAATCTAATGAAAGTCTAAAAGGATAAAATAGAGCAACTCTGCTGTAATTTGTTCAGCCTTCCTGTTATCTGTAGGAAGTCTTGCTCTCTTGCAGCTTGAGTGAACTGCAGACAGGCTGTAGAAGCACAGCTTACTTCAGCAGAAATCATTTTAAAAGTCTCCCTGGTAGCAATGATTGAAATGCTTTAGTATTCTTCAACATTAACAGAGTTATGATGCATTCACTGATTAGAAAGAGACTGGATTTTTGAGTTTCTGCCCAGCCAGTCTCAGCTCAGCCTATTTTCTGGTGTTTCTAGTAATGTATCAGTTAATGCAGAATAAATGGTCTATGAAGAAACTCCTAAATCTTATATATTGATATATTGGTTCTTTTAATGTCCCTCCAGCACATACTTTAGTTGTTTTAGGAGTGTAGCTAATAGCTGTGGTGCCTTTCACACCCTTTTTTCTTTAACCCTGAAGCTGATTTTTGAATCCATACAAGCATGTTTCAGCCTTCACTTCGTTTTCCTTCTCCTCCTTCTTTCTCTGGATGCCATCTTCTCTTCCGGATTCTGTCTTCTCTCTCTTTCTCCCTCTCTCTTCCTGTCATTCCTCCTCTCTTCTTTCGCCATTCTTCAGCTACCATTGAGGCCATTGAAGCTATCGAGACAGTTAAGGATCCTGAAGGTAAAATCACTCTCATTCCACTGTGCGTGCGCGGCATGGCAGCGCGCTCAGCCGTCATAGATCTCCTTTACCCACAATGCACCAAGCCCTTCCAGCCGCATCAGCGCTCAGAACAACAGCCTAAGCCGCCACATGAAACACAACATCTCTTTTTCCTCCTTGTGGGAACAGCACATCGTCTCCACTTCACACTGTAACAATCGTCAAAACATAAGGTTCCTTTATATCCATATAGTGAGGGATGGGCTAACTCTGATGTGGTTTGTTAGATTTTTTCCCCTCATGTTTAGGGATGATGGATTCATCTGTTTTCATACATTGCAGCTTCAGTTAACTGTGATCACAAAATAATCTGTGCTGAATCCCAGCTTTCCAGCCTCTTTCAGAAACAGTCCCATGGGTGCATGGGTCATAAGATAGAGATAAGATGGGACACGATGGAGAAATTCACTTGTAACATCAGCTCTAATAGGTAAAAAATAAAGAATAGAGATTTAATACAATAGAATAGAATAGAAAAAGCCCTTTATTTCCCCGCTATGGGGAAATTGTGGTGTTACAGCAGCAAAAAGTTTATTGCATAAGTGGTCACACAAATGTGAACCTTAAAAAAAGTGTACATAAATAACTAAAAAAAAGACAGAGTTAAGAAAATAAACAAAAAATTCTACACTCTGAAATGTTTTTACAATATTATTACTGTGCATCTTGAAATAATAAATAATCAATAAACAGATGTGGACATTTTTACAGTAATTGAATAGAGTCTACCAGCTGCTGGGAAGAAGGATCAGTGATAACGCTCCTTGGTGCATTTAGGGTGCAGCAGTCTGTCACTGAAGGAGCTCTCCAGTTCTGCAACAGCTTCATGCATGGGGTGGGAGACATTATCCAACAGAGATGTTCATTTAGTTAGGATCATTTTGTTTCCCACCTCCTGCACAGTCCAGAGTGCATCCAATCACAGAGCTGGCCTTCCTGATCAGCTTATCCAGCCACTTTCTCTCAGCTACAAATAAGCCGATGCTTCAACAGGCAGCTCCATAGAAGATGGCTGATGCCACAACAGAGTCATAGAAGGTCTTCAGGAGTGTACCCTGCACTCCAAAAGACTTCAATCTCCTCTGCAGGAATAGTTTCTTATATACCGGTACACGTATATATGTTGCATATATCGGATATATGCATTTAAGGTGTAAAAACAGTAAAGTTATCTTATGATCTGCTAGGGTGATTGTGACAAAGGTTTGGTAGATGTATAAGTGAATAGACGCTCTTATTAAACAATAATTATTACAGAGTGGTATTGTAAAGTCTGACGGCAGAAGGGATGAACACAGTCTGGTACTAAAGGAGCGGCTTAGCTGCTCTACAGTCTGCTGCAGAGGGTGACAGGTGTTGTCCATGATGGATGTGAACTTGGCCATCCTCTCCTCGCGGCCACCTCCTCCACAGAGTCTAGGGCGCAGCCCAGGACAGAAATGGCCCTCCTCACCATCTTGTTCAGTCTCTTCCTGTCCTGCGCTGCTCTGCGCTGCCCGGGGCCCAGCAGACCACAGAGCAGAGTCATAGAAAGTCAATCATGTGATGCCAGTCATGTGATAAGTTTATTTGGGGCTAACTTCTTTAAAATGCCTATATCTGGTTCAGAATATGCAGTGCTGTGAAAACACATTTCCCCCCTTACAAATATATATCTTTTCTTGTTGCCGTCACATGTTTCAGATCCTGTTTCAGTGAAAGAGAGCGAAGCTTTCTAATCACAGTTAATTCATGATTTTAAACCACTTTTCTTCTCAGAGTAGGGTTGGTTTGCATAGGTTATTCTCCCTGATTTAATAAAATAATCATTAAAACAACAGCAACTACCTTTTACCATGGATATCTGTTTTCAATATTTAAAAATGTTTAACAATCTAAACAATTACAGTAAGTGTGACCAAAAAAAGCCAAAACTGAGACAATCCGTAAGGGAGAAAATATTTATTCACACCCCTGTATTTGTGTTTAAGACATTTCTAGACTTGAACGCAGGGATGTGAAGCTGAATAACATTTCAAACTGAAGCTGGGAAGGTCCATTATGTCCCTTTGTGCTTCTGAACAGATCGTTGTTGTGGCTTCTGTGCTGAGTGAAGTACTTGGTGATCCGTCTGCATGTTTTACTGTGTAGTGCTGTCTTTAGCTTACCTGAAGTACAGTCCATAATTTGTTTATTTGAATGAATTATGGAAACCTCCTGTGTCAGCTTACTGCCTTTGTGTACGTTGATTTAAAGCTGATGTTGTAGATGGTGATTTTGAATATAATCAAAGGTTTTCTGACAGTCGCCTTTGTTCAAAAGTGAAACTGCTCATCGTGGGTCTTGGAACCTGCTGATTTCAACGCCTATGTTTTCGAATCATTGGTTTTACCAAACAGTTTATACTTTAAAAGGGAAAACTAAAGATAAAACAAGGCAAACTGTTTATAAAACTCCTTCAGAGTAATTAGTTTAATAATAAAAATGGAAAGAACAGAAGTATAAAATCGAAGGTATGAGAAGGTATTTACTTTCGCTTATTAATCTTTATTGGCATTTTTTTGTTTTCTCATTCGGGTGGAAGAGAAAAGCCAACGATTTTCACTTTCAGTCTTGAGACTGTGGAGTGACTCATCATGCAAACAGCTCTTCCTGTTAGACCACACTTTGTCAGCTCATAGTGAGGCAGCTTTTCAATGGTGTAATTTATAGTGATTCTTGGCAATAAAACAACTCAGTTAGAAGCAGAATGGAACATGCTAGAAATAAGATGCATGGTCTATGGTTAATTCATTTTTTATTGAAGGGGATCAGAGCAGTGGTGGACGAAGTACTCGACTATAGTACTTGTGTAAAAGTATTGATACTCGTAGTAAAAGTTACTCAATTATTGAAGTATTCACTTTTGAAAAAACTTCCCATTCAAAAATACAATTAAAAATGTCTAATATCAGTACATTTCTGTCAAATTTTCAGACTGATGTTAAAGAAGCTTTGAGAAACCACCTGATGTATTGATGCATAGATCTACCTGCTACAGATTCTACACTTTCTGTTAAGAACCTCAGCATAAAAAAGCCACAAAAAAATAAGGAAAGCTTGTTTGATTGTTATTTCTTTTTTTAAAAGAAATGAAAAAGAAGACGGGAGAGTCTGGATTTTCCAAACACACTTTCACTATGGAATACAGGTTTAACGTTGAATCTGTTACCACAAAGAAACTACAACTCTGCTTTAAGAACTCATCAAAATGGCAACAACTAATGTCTTGATTAAATGTATAAACTATGAAATAATATCTGCCCTGGTGTGTAATGTCATGCTAATCTCTAAAACAGTGTAGTCCTAATTCAGTCCTAAGGGCTGCTATCTTCCATGTTGAAACTGCATTTCAAGAGAGAAAAACAGCAACAGTGGATTTCAAAACTAAGCTGAGCCAAAAGGAACTAAAATCACTGCAGCTTCCTCAAAATGTAGGGGAGTAAAAATGTATAAGTACCCCTGAAAAATTTCTCAAGTAAAGTAAAGATATACAAAAAAAGGTACTTAAGTATAGTAATCAAGTAAATGTACTTTGTTACTTTCCACCACTGGATCAGAGTAAAGGCAGCTGAATTCAACAGTTCTGTTTTTATTTGTAAAAGCCTTTAAAAGTACTGATACTTATAAGTAACAAATGTATATTGTAGGTAATGACAGCTGTAAGGACACTGGACAATGCATTGTATTGGTTTTTGATCATATGAATCCTTTTTTTTTTACCGCAATAAAATCTGAATTTAATACAGTAAAATTTATGGCTATGATGATGAACTATTACCACTGTAGTGATGGGAAAGGCTGAGATTTAAAACAAAATGAAAAGAAAACCAGAGTGGAATGGTTTTGGTGGAAGGCTCCATGTAGGAAAAATCTATTTCATTAAAACGTAAAGAAGGGAATAATAAATCGCTTTCATAAGTTTGAGAGATTTGATGATAACGCAATCAACATTAGAATTAGCCAGTTGAATTACTGGTGCATTCTTTCTTTGTCTTTCTTTTAATTTACATTTGTGGATTAGGAAAAAATGTTATAAAGTGATAAATGTGTCAAAAAAACAAAGAATGTTTTGAACAAACGGCTGACTGTCTTCGATCAGACGTAGCGTCTTTGCAGCTGTGCTTCCTGTTTGCAGTGGCTCAGTCACCGTGGCTCTCAGACTACTGATCTAGGATCAATGAACGGTTTCTGCTCAGTGTCGCTGCCGTGCCAACCCTGGGTCAGATTAATCCTAGCTCAGCATTCAGACCAGCAGTCTCCCTGTGTGTGTTTGTGTGCTGACTTCGGTGTAAGAGATGTCCAGATGTGGCACATCATTGTTTATCCAAACCCCCAGCTATGAGCATTGGGCTCAGAGTCATCTGCAGCTTTTCAACCATGAACACATATTACATTGGGAACAAATATATAATAATATCCACATATGCATTCAATTCCTGTCATATTCATCAGAGCCTAAAGGGTTTGGATACACACAGCCAATGCTAACTGTTTTGGTCAAAGTTAACTGCATGCGTCTGTGTGTGTGTGTCCGCAGCCATTCGAGGCTTCTCTCCGCAGCACCGGATCAGCAGCTTCGAGGAGGCCAAAGGTCTGGACCGGATTAACGAGAGGATGCCGCCTAGACGCGACGCGGTCAACAGCGTGGGCCTGTCGATGGGCCGCATGAACATGGGCGAACCCAACGGCACCGACAACAACAGCAATATCCAGTGATCGCCAGAAAAAAAAAACAAAAAAAAAAACTTTCCCACCTGCCTGCAGTCTCTACAGTGATATTTATCCAGTCGTGTACATAGGCATATATACACCAGAACAAGTCATCGCACATTTAGTAGACAAAATCACACACTACACTACACAGACATGATTAAATAGCCCCTTCCCTGATGCCCTCAGCTGTTATTTAAAGGCATGACTTAGCCGGACTTTACCACAGAGAGGCTTTGGGGAGGGGGGGTCTTTCCTGAACTGATCAGCCTGGTTCTTCAGAACCGAGACTCCCCTGTACCTGCACAACAACAGGAGAGCAGATCAGGACTCTGAAGAGAGCTGCTGCTGTTTGCCGTGTGTTTTGGGGGACGGTGTCAGCGTGATGTGCCTGCGTCGCTGTGTGTGTGTGTGTTGTGTGTGGGGGGGGGGTGGGGGGTAGGTGCGGG